TTTTTTTTTTTTTTTTTTTTTGGTGTGATAAAAGTGTTTTTGTCAAAATATACCCCCAAATATTATTCAACCATTTTCAAAATAATACTCCATTAATTTAAAAATAAGTGTTGTTCTAAAAAAATATAAAACATATATAACAGTTTTATTAGAATATTCACTTATAAGTTGTCCCGCATCGTTTATATAGGGAAAATAAACTTAATTTATAAGTCAAAGGCTACTCCTCCTTTCACCAATTGATTTTAAAATGAAACATCACTTGAGTTTCATCTGAATTTTCCCTGCTTATGTGTGGAACATAATTTATAACTTTTTTGGGGCATATATATAATGGTTTGTGGCAATGATAGGATTGGTATCTTCGTAAAGTAACACTTTATTTTGTCTTCTAAGGGGTTTTATCACTTTATGGGTTTCAATTATACCAACAATAATGTGGAATTATTATCATTTAAAATTAGGGAAAAAATGACAAAAATAAAATTCATCGTCCTAAACTACGTACATGTGGGGCGGCGCTACGGCGGTCGGCCACCCCCATTTGACAAGATTCTACTACTATTTTTGTTTTTATTTTATTTTATTTTATTTTATTTTATTTCCTGTTTTAGTCTAAACTAAAATGTCAAGAATCAAGATCAGTAAAAAGAGTATAAAATTAACCTAGGTAACTTATTATTACATATTTGGGGCAATCAATTTACCAACCCCAATTGGGGGAGTGACAAATGAAGTTAAAAAAAAAAAAAACACTTATTATGAGATAAAAAATTCAATTTATTCGTTCGGTATGTCAGTAAGTGCACTTACATTCAATGACTCTTTTTATCGTTGTATCACAAGTTCAAATGAGTATTTGTAAGTCGAACTTTTTTTTAGGTATAACAATTCTTTTTAGGACATTGGCATCGATGATTTTGTTCTTCTCATTTGATTAAATATCCAAATAAGTGTGCGATAATTCATCGGTGGTAAAAAAAACCTATAGCACGAGTAGAGTTAAACTCGTTCAATTTGCACATTATTGGGCATAATGATTTCACTTTTGATGACTTTTTGGTAGATTTAATAATGTTCTTCGACGAATTTTATGATATATTCTTTTTCATCTTATGACGATTGGATGAAATAAGAAGGAAAAAAAAAACAATAAAAGGTGAACATATTTATTTCCTACTTGCAAATTATTTTATTTTTCAAAATTAAAGTTCCAAGTTTTGTATTGTTGTTGATGATTAAAGTATTATAGCGATGAGGGAGGCATAGACTGAAGTCCAAGTATAGTTTCGACTTTCAACCCTAAAAAATCAATTGGTATTGCAAATGGCCAAATGGGTCGATTTTGGATCAATTTTGCTTCACATTTCACATTTGTATCTTAGCATTTGGTTCAATTTGTATTAGAATATAATACCACTTGTGAATTATCTTATATCGTTTATGTAGAGAAAATTTTCATAACTTATAAGTTTAGTGGGTTCATCTTCCTATTACTAATTAGCAGGCCCGGCCCTGGCCCTGGGCAAACTGGGCGACGGCCCAGGGCCCGTTTGCAACATGGGGCCTCAAATGCACTCAAATGCACATTGATAGATACATAATTATACATTGACCTTTTCTTTCTTTTTTTTTTTAAAAAAAA